TGTATTGACATGTATTTTGCATATCTCTGGCCAAATGCTGTGTTTTGAATTGCACTTGGAATTGGGCAAAATTCTTTCACCTTCAGGGAGATATGCATTAATTAGAACCAAGTAATGATGGCGAAGGTCTTGGGGTTAGTTCCTCATGCAACTAACCTATTTCACATCTCAAATGTGCTTCTAAGCCTGGCATTTTGGGGTAAATGCCTGCAGAGTAGCAGGAGAAGTTTCTGGAGACGTCTCCAGTTCCCAGCCTTTGGTGACCAGCAGCACGGGGGGTGCGGGGGCAGCACCTGCTCGTTTGAGGGGCTGATGTTCTCTGGAAGCTCCTGCAGTGAACCTCTCTGGCCAAGCTAGTTTTTACAGTGAGTACCTCTACAGTAAGTTCTGTTTTCCTTCTGCCAGAAGGAAGATCATCCTAATTAATGATTCTCAGAAAAGTAATGTATCATTTAGATGATCTAGAGAAATCTGGAATTTATTCAGATCAATGGCAAAAATCCTGTTGACTTAAAAGGGAATACATTTTTCATTTATGATTTTCAAAGAACAGCCTAGGATATGGAAAGAAAAAGGCAGTATGCCTCTTAACGATTGGTTTCTTCCAATATTCTTTCTGTACTTTATCCATAAAAGCTATATAAGATGGGAATATTAAGAACCTCTAAAGTAAGTTCAACAAAATCCTCATGCTGCAATATCCCTGGATGCTGTGACTTTTCACTTCCACAGGTAAACCCGAGTTTCATATTTCTTTCCCTGTAACTGGTTCATGGCCTCACTTCCCCCCCAAATTTCCTGAGACCAACACTTGCCAGATGCCAAGTTTCTTGAAACTTGCTTAAAAATTTTGGAGCTCAGTTTGATGGCACATCTCTAATTGGTAGCCAGGAGACTTTCATGCAGTCAGAAGCAGATATTAAAGAGTAAGTAGAGTTTGTTCATATCTGACTGCTTCAGCAAACACGCTAAGAATGGCACTGAATGAAGTTCATCATTTCAGGCTGCATTGCTGGTGAATGTGCTATAGCTTTGCTGACTTCTTATGATACAAGTGAAATTGGTCTTTTTTGACAAAATGATACATTCTTAAGGAATTACTCAAATTATTATTTTTTTCAACTTCTGGGAGTTGTAAATGGCAGCCCAAGTACCATTTTCTTATAAGCACTTGGGTTAAATAACCTAGTCTAACCTAGCTAATATAAACACTGCTCTGAAACAAATAATAAGTACCAGGATGCACAGGAACGGACAGTTTCTGCCTGGTGAGAGTTTACAGTCTGAGAAAGGCTGGAGAGGAAAGGGAATAGTATGTTCATTATATAAACAGAGAAAGGAGGCACAGAGAAATTAAAGATTAATTTCTTGTCCCCAAATGTCCTCAGGACCAGGCTGTAAAATGTAGGTACTGACAAAGGTAGCACTTTTGGAAATGTCTCCAGGCAGTAAATGCTTAACTTCTGTTACAGTGAGACCTGGATTTCTAAGTCACCTATAAAAAGGTTCTGAGCCTGCATCTGCAGGTCTGGCCTAAGTTGAGCCTTTCAGATAATTAGGGCAATGTTTCACTGAACATCTGGACAATAATGAGTTGAATAAGCCCAAAGTACTAAAAAAACCCAAACCATAGAGAAGCCTATCTTTCATCTAAAGTCACTTGTACACTGCCTTTCAGGTTCTTAAGCTACACTTTAAAAATGAGGCAGGGTCTCTTAATTTATTTAAAAGTTTTTGCAAGATTGTCTTAGTGATAAAGGCCAGACAGAAGTGCGTTAGCAAAGTTTTATGTCAGATCTTCTGCGTTCCAGGCCTTCATCCTAAACACAAAACCTTTATATTATTGAGAATCCAACTGCATTTTACATACGCATTGAAGTTCCAGTATTAGCTCTTACAGTTGTGCATCAAAGATAGACAGATAGCAGCTAGCATGCAAATGCTGCTTCCAAAGAGCATAAAGCCCTTTTGAAGGCAGCAGAAACTGTCAAAGTTAAATTAAAAATTAAAAATCCATTCTGTGGGCTGCAGAGGCTGCCTGACAGCCACAGAGCCAGAAGTTTTCCAAACCTCTCAGATGCAGTAGTGAGTTCATTGCAGTCACTGAGCTTCCCCCTCTCCCCTGTGCTGCCGGGAAACACAGTCACTGCCTGGCCACTGTCCCTCTTGGTCCTAAGGAAAAACCCCTCCTTGCAACCCTTTCTTTAAACATCTCAAATTGTAAAGTATTAAGCTTGCTTATGCCTTAACATGTAATATATTGGTGTGAAAATGATAGGCTTTCTCAATTTATTAACAATTTATGATTTGTTATTTATGATAACGTTACTGCTGGCTGTTAGTCACTCAAAATGAAGATGGATATGGCCTTCAACATGAAAAAACACTGCCTACGGTCATAAAAGCAGTGTTTCAATAAATTATTACATGCATTTAATTTAGGTCTCAGAATCTGCAATTGCGTTAAAGTGGGGTGATTTGTGGTGTTTGGAGGTTTTTTTTGTGAAAGCACTGAAGTACCATAGACAAATATTGAGGCTGTTAAGGACAGTAGGTGATACCTGCCTCGCTCCATCCCACCCGTCCGCCAGTGATGCCCCCGCTGTGCAGGAACAGACATTTCTGAGGGTCTTTGTTGGGATTCTTCCCTCTTTTGCTGACCTCCCCTGTCAAAAAGAAATAGTATAGTAATAAAGGACAATACTTTTGTTGTCACGAGCAATTTACCACCATATTCCTTACAGAACTTTGGGAGTCAGATGTTTATTGCTTCCTGCTGCTTGTATTACTTCTCAGCCCTCCTGAATGAGAGATTATGACAAAAATCCATCTATAATTAAGCAAAACCTTCAAGCTATACATTGTTTGAATTTAAAAAGGAGCAATGCCTTTATCACTGTCATGCATTGAGTCAAAATGTGTTTGGGAACAGCTCTGAATTGTGAAGTGGGTTTTAAGGTTGAAACTAGAATTTTGAAGTTTGTTTTCATTGGGTACCATCACAATTCATATTGTAGAGGATGGACTCAAGCTGTCTAAAAGCAATAGACTGCTGGTGTCCTACAGAAGGGTGACAGGCCTTAAGGACAGGCAATGCCAGCATTCTACAATTATTTTATTAGGTTTTTTCATGCTGCTCCACATGACATTCAGGAGAAATGAGCTACAATGTGATACAGATGTGACTGAATAATCTTGCATGTAAAGCAAACATTTTGGTACATTATTGCATACAGGCCTTAGTGTTCCTTGGCCTGGACAGAGGAGATGTTCCTGGTGGACTTGCATGGTCCTGCAAGCTAAAAATCTTTCAATCACCTATTCTTTGTTCCCTCTTTTTATTCATTATTATTAAAAACGTTATGCATTTCATAGTAAGAGCTACTCACCCTCTGGTAAGATGTCTTTAATGTCCATATATAAACTGTCTAAAAATCTGAAATTCTACCCAAAGGTTTTAGAGCTCTAAGAGCAGCCTCTGCTGCTGCCTAAGGAAATCGTTTCTCTCTTTTTCCAGCAGAGGTAACCATTTTCATTGCCTATCTGCCAGAAGTTTGCGGGAACTGTTCAGCTGATGTCTGTGTGGCACTTGGAAAAATAGACCAGCCTTACGGATTAGGAATGTGAAGTCCTTGTGACCAGCATTACAAATATTGGGTCCTGCGAGCCACGCGGCTGACACCGCCGCGGGGTTACGGTCCCGCAACCGCCCGACGGCACTCCACCGGCACTCCACCTGATTTCTGAAGCTCCTTCTTAAAACGCGCTGTCCCCCCTGTCACACACGGGTACCGTAGCCTGCCCGCTCTCTCGGTCCCGTGACGGCGGAGTCTCCCCCCGGTGCCGGTGTCCGGACTCTGGCGAGCGGCCGCGGGAGGCGGCGACCCCGGCCGGGCCCCTCCGGGTGCCGTCCCCGGGCTGGGCCCGCCGCGGGAGACGGGCACCGACGGGCCGGAGCGCGCCGGGCAGCGGGTCAGGGAGATGGAGCGGCGGGGGCC